GTTTGGGAGTTATTGGCAAAAAACGAAAATTTCGCAAAATCTTAAGGGGTACCCCTTGGAAAAATCTCGGAAAAATTGAAAATTTTTTTTTTCACAAAATATCGAAAAATACTTCAAGTGGAAGTTGTAGGAGCTTCTATTAACTACGGGAAATGTGATTACCATAAGAATTCATGCAAATTCCTATACATCCTTAAATTGCAACTCCAAGAAGTATACAAGAAGCATAACTTGTTTAAAACTTGCTGACTCGTCATGAATCGTATTTCGATGGATTCAAATATCCGTTTCTCAGATTCTATAATGAAATCGATGACCAATAAATAATTTTGATCATACAATACAAAAAAACGTATGAAATTCCAAGAGCCGCATACTTATCACAATTAGTCATTGAAGTGAAACGATCAAAGGAATTCCTACCTAAATTCCATCGTTTAAACTGGTTTTATTTTCTATAGAAATCTGTAGTCTCGACGACGATTGAATGTTTTCTACGAGTATCGTGCACGCGATGGGTAAAAATATTTGAAGAACAGATGCTTGTTCAGCGAACAAAGTCGTTAAGCCCCGAGCCTCGGGCGCGAGGAATATCGTCTGGCAAACAAAAAGCCTGGCTCTCCCTTGCATCGTCTCTCACCGATGAAGCATTAACGAGTCACGGGAACTCGCGATCACCCGATAAACCACGTATTTGCCGTGTGTTTTGTCCTCGTTCAGTCGTAACAGATATCTTTGCGCTGAGTTTTCGTATCGTTTCCGAGTTAAATTCTACTTAACCCATTTCCATTCTACGTCGGCTGGTATAAATAGCGTAATAAAAATTGAGACACGGTTTTATATACAGCAGTACCGTGGGAATAAATCCGTTGAAATAAGAGAAGTTTCATATAAAAGAGCGAGCTATTAAAAGAGCACGATTTCTAATTTTGAAATGGAATATCGTGAGGGCAGTATTTGTTCGTCTGAACGAAGTCGAAGAAACCCGTTTTATGTGTACAGCGGTGGAGAGATTAGTATCGAAGGGAAACGGAAGAAAAATGAGGGATGGCCGGAAGCGACGAGAAAAAGGTGTAAAAGCGGGTTTTCAGGTGGGCAGGTTAAAGAGCATCGAAGTGGCTCGGCTTCGTTTCGGATCGATGAGGGTCCACAGGTGCCAGAGTTGATCCGCGCAAGCGCCCCTCTCGCACCCCCCCGCTTTTGTTATCCCCCCAGCGAAATCCCATCCCCTTCGTTCGTTCGTTCCTTCCTTCCTTCATCCTCCTCCTCCTCCTCCTCCTCCGCCTCCTCCCGCCCTCTTGTTCACCTCGTTTCCCAGCGCACGCATACACGGGACTCGGACAGCAGGGTGTGCTTCGCGATTCCCGTATTCAACGCGTGCACCCACCTCGCGTTCGGACTTAATATTCATGAGACCAGCCCTTGAGGAGAGGCCGGAGGAATAACGTGAGGATCGCGGTACGCCCGGATGATGGACGGCCTTTTTTGTAATCCGGACCGGTTGCTTCTCGATGTTAGCAATCTTGTTCCTTCCTACAAGAATTTGATGAATTTCGCAAAATACGCGTAGCTACTTTTAAGGTAATTCTATGGATAATAGTATTAACTGTAATAATGATTGATACACCGACAACTGCAACGTCGCTCCCAATGATTTATACAATAATTTATATGACGGTACGAATAATGATTGACACACCGTTTGATAGAACGACGCCTGATGCATATTTATGCACTCTCGCGAGACAATAGTATGGCATGGCACATATTCTGACTTTTTGAAAAACGGATCCAGCAATCTAAATCATTTTTATTATTCTCGATTTTGTACCGTCGGAATAACAGCCCGTTTTTTTTTTCAGACGCGAAATGTAACGTGATATTTTCTCCGATAAGAAGTTGCACGCTGAAAGAGTTGAGACTAACGCTTGATACTCTTATCGCGTAACCGGATAGTATCGAAACAAACTATCAACTGGCTCGACAACAAATTCCGAAACTCGTTCGTACGGTTTCTCTGAAAGGAGAGAACTTTTTCCACTTCTATTCCAGTGGAACGGTCCGTCGCGGCTGCGTTTCAATCGGCCGGGTAAAAAAAAAAAAAAAAAAAAAAGGAGGAGGAGGAAGAAGAAAAAGAGGGAATCGAGGAATATCCTCGGTGAAACGGAACGGGCAAATAGCAGGCGATAAAATCCATATCCGGTGGGCGGATGCAAAACCAGCAGTCAGAGTTTAGGGGTTCGGGTAAATAAAAAGTCGAGTAAGACGTGGATTAAAAAATTCGACGGATCGAATCGTAGAAATTGATTTCCGATAGTGGAACGCCGACGGTCTGGTCCATCGCTACGCAGTAAAGGAAATAATTCGGTATTAACGTCGCCGCGCCGGAAATTGAGATTCCTCCCTGTCGACCCTTGTAACTCGCTTTCGGGGACAATTACGTTCTCTCCCATGTTTTACTTAATTTTCGCCTTATCGGTGGACCACGGATTTTATTTCATATTTAACGTTCATGAAAAATGTTTGCGATATGCAAGAACGTGTGCACGTTAAATTTGCATACATTAACCTTTCGGGGCCGAGGGTAAACAAGTGTTTAGGGGGCATATGAAATTCTGATTCGACATTCACCTAATCGTTGATACATCAATCTTGTACCAGGAAAATAGTACGAAAGGCTTAATTCTTAAGTAGGAGAAAAAAAGACGGTCTGTAACTATGCGATAAATAAACATAAACGATGCTCGACTGGGGAAGCTTCCTCTTTATTTCGGTTCCGGATAATACGAGGATGCCACGCAAAAGTAGATGTGAATGGTCAGATGGCATTACAAGAGTGAGGTTTCAATTTATAAAAAATGGCACGGGTCCGGTGGACCGGAAACGTTCCGATAAATCCGATCGTACCTGGTCTCGTTATTCGACGACAAAAATTGGGTTTCGTTAATTAGCGTGACCCTGTTTCAATCGCCCTACCAAATTGGTGAACATGCTGGTAACATCCGTCGACTAAAGAATACTGTGACGCAGGAGCGTCTACGTGGTGGACGAGTCAGTAGGGAATGTTTGTTAAAATTATTTAGGCTGCAATTTATAGTCGTTCAGTTCTGAACTGCTTTTGCAATTTTATTGAAGGGAGTAAGTCTACTACAATTACTATAGAAATTTTAAAAAATGTTAATCAATAATGAAATAATATGTTTAAAAATATATCTTCGATTTTTATTAATCATGTATCACAAAACATAAATAAGCAACAAGCAGTTGAGAACTGACTTACTGTTTCAAAATATATACTCACAGAACCCTTTGATATTCTATCTATATATAATGTATAATAAATAATATTTTATAATATAAATTTTATAATATAAAATATAATGTGTAATATATAATATTGTATAAATTTTCAAGTTCATACATAATTAGTGCAGCACTGATGGGAGATGCTAGCATTATAAGCTGTATCTACCTTACAGCAACCGAAGGTCGATAAAGAGATTAATATGAATGATCGTTTGTGATGTCAAAGGTCGGCCGCCCGATTTCCTCGCGTTCGTCATTACCATACTGATGATGATGCTGATGGCAGCCGGGGTGAAGAAGTCGCTGGTCTTCAATAACGTGTTAAACGCCATCAACCTATCCGTGTGGGTGTTCATTATGGCCGCGGGTATGTTCTACGTGGACGGCGCAAACTGGAGCGATCACGACGGCTTCCTACCCCACGGCTGGAGCGGGGTGAGTGCCTTTAATTTTAATTCCCGATGTTCCATTGGTCTGATATTGATTTTAAAAATACCCAAGCGAGTAATAAACTAAAATCAACAATTATATTTCGTATCGAATCAATTGATGATTAAAAAATGTTAAAAATGAAGTCAGAAGCTTTATATTAGTTTGGATAATTGAGAGTTTCATAATAAGCACTTGTGACTCTCAACGAGAATCTCTAGCATAGCCATTTCATTATAGAGCATGAAATTTCTTTTGAACCCTTTGAGATATCGACCTCGGTTCCTTTCAGTCCATTCGAGGATCGGAGGCTTAATAATTTCAGGGCAAAGGGAAGTTCCGCTTCGTTAGGGAATCGTGATTTGTAGGAATTATTATTCGGGGTTAATGGGAGTGCCTCAGCTGGTCGTTAACCCATAACGGACCGGTACGGTGCGGCCTTCGTTTCATTCTCAGTCAGCCACCGCGTACTGACTTAATTTCCAGGGACGATGAGAAGTTCTTCCTCGTTTAATAGACGTACAATTGTGTACCAATTGGTTTATTAATTATCCGTTTGATTGTAATTAAGCTGCAGAATGATACGATGTTTGATATAAAAATTGATATTTTAATTCTCCGACAGTGACTTCGCCCACTCTGGCTATATGTATTGTCTTTGTGAGTCCAGGGTTTTGAAAAGCCGACAAAGACTCGGGGAAAAACAGAGTATCGCAGAGGAACGAAGGAACGTTTAGAGGGGAGCCAAAAAAGTTGAGAAACTCTGCTCGGAGGGGTGGCTGCATCCCATCGCTCCCCTTTGATTTCCCGTTTTTCCTACCTACCGACGTACAACAAAAGATTGTGCTCCCCGATGAAAAATTATGTTCCTCTGTTGGCTGGAAAATTGGATTTCATCCCCTTTCCATCTATACAGGATTTCATTAGCGAAAATTACTTCAGTATATTATTCAAATGCATTCGGTTAATCCAAGTGGGAAAATATGATTTATACTAAGAGTGAAGCATAGCGTTTAGTTTTTTAATTGCCAATTCATTTAAAAGAAAGAGCTTGACACAATCAATTGTTTGTATAAATATTCTTCTCCGTTGATCCTGTGAACGAGATTCCATCACGAAACCATGAGATACGTTTGTTTTAAATGAGAAAAGAAGCTGAGAGGCTGCGTGGCTCGTTTCTGGTTTTAATCCGTTCGTAGCTGCGGAGTAAAAAGAAACAATTTGCCGTCATTCGCGTTGCCCTTTTGACGAGCAAACGCCATTATCCGCGGTTTTCGCTCCCGCGTGGGTGGAACGAAGAGGCCTGCTATCAATGCCAGGGCGTTTATAAACCGCGTTGGCGAAATACTACCGGGTCACGAAGTAAACTGCACGTTCACAAGATTTTTTAAACCACTCGACGAGGCTCGCCTTTCCCCACGTGTCATCCCCCCCCCCCCGATTCTGAACAAACAGAATCCGATAAATACCGTATCTCACGAACGTGCTTTGAAGACTTTCAGCGTGGGCTGCTTTTTGCATTTAATCTCGTTTACCTACAGTCCTATAAATTAGTATAAGCTGGTCCTGTTCTATTTATTCGACGATCTGCTCTTTGAAAACGTTGCAGAAATGATGCAACGTGAAATTTACACGGATTCAGCAAGAAATGTTAACAATTATATAAGAAAAATTAACAAATACATTAGTTATTTAATAAACTAGATTTAAAGTTGAGTCCTAAAATCAATGAGGAAGGATTAAGATGATAAAAAAGTATAAAACAGTCATGGTTCATCCACTTATTTATTTCATCACGTATGGCAACGTTACAAGATGGGATCGTAATTGAAACCGTGTTCCATAAGAGGTTCTTTTACCTCTTAAGGTTCTGGATTATCTGGATACGTTACGAGCTTAAAATTGCGACTTACTCAAGTAGCGACTCGTTTCGAATCGCGATTGCATTAAAGCTTCCACTTTCCTGGCGTCCCCGTCGGGCGACGAGCATAAGGAATTCATAACCGCGTTAAGGGACCTTGAAAAATGAAACGGCCCGGAGTCCATCCGTGAGGAAAGACGAGCCCCGGCTTCTCTCGGCTTCAAAGAAACACCCTTATCAAGCTCGGAATGTAATTTGTCCGTTCCCATTCTGGCCGCTCTTCTGTTACTTCACGCTCCATGGATTTTAATGTCTCCTTTCAAAATTACAGCTGCACGTTTCCCTCGAATTACTCCGTTGTAATTCATTCCCTATTTTCTGATAATTTTGTAATTAATCGCAAATGGAGTTGTACATTAAGAAATAGTTTCATGCAATATAGAAAAAATTTCGTTCCGGTATTTTTTATTGATTCTGTTTTCTGAAAATTATTCAGAAACTCATGAAGTCGATTACGACACGATATTTTATAAATTCTCTCTTATGAAAATTATTCAGAAATTCATGAAGTGATTTATTGCAGGTGTTCACCGGTGCGGCGACGTGTTTTTACGCGTTCATCGGTTTCGACATAATAGCGACGACCGGCGAAGAGGCGACGAACCCGAAGAGGAGCATCCCCCTCGCGATAGTCTCTTCATTGATCATAATACTCATCGCTTATGTCACCAGCAGCATGGTGTTGACGCTGATCAGTAAGTACCTCTCTTCTATTTCCGGTTATCCGTACAATAAAGAGGACTCACGGTTCAAACGATAAAACGAAACATTCGGTAAATTGCTACGATCATTGTTTTTATTTGCGAGCAAAATTCTGATGAAATAAAATTCCATCAATTGATATTTGTTATAAATAATATTTACAATTTTTATATAATTGTAATATCAATAATTATTAAGCGGATATCGAAATCGTGTAATATGAATAAATAATAGAACGTCCCTTTTTGTTGTATAACAAATATAATCGTATAAAGTAATTATTTCATTAAAACGTATAGTAATTTCATTTTAATAGAATTATTGAATACTTAGTTTAAATGGTTATTCAGTGTTTTATGATACGCCCTAAGACTCATGAATGAGCATATAAATGTTGCGCGTGTAACGAGAATATGATACGTCGGTTTAATCAATTATTAACAGGCAGTCGGTGACATTTCCACTGATCCAAGTCGACCGAAAGGCCCTTGGCCATCCTTGACCTCCCATCATGCATCCCTGGCCACCCCTTTAAACGTCACTACCGATCACCCGTTTACCCTCGTCACGAGCCGCGCGGCTCGTCTAAATAACTGATCGACGTGTCGGGACGCGATTAACTTACAACAGGTGCTGCCGAGAAAAGTTCTACCAGTGACGATCGATTAAAAATAGGATCTTCTCGTTTCAGTACCGTTCGACGAGGTGGATCAGGATTCAGCGCTGGTGGAGATGTTCGGCCAGGTCGGTGCTTATAAATGCAAATATATCGTGGCCGTCGGTGCCCTGGCTGGATTGACGGTTTCCATGTTTGGAAGCATGTTCCCTATGCCGAGGATAGTTTATGCCATGGCCCAGGATGGCCTCATATTCAGGTAATCAACGTTATTACTCCCTCTCTTCTCTTTGACTTTAGCCTGTTCTCTGTTTATCTCATCTCTCCTGCTCTCTCTAACGAAATCAGTTAATCGATGAACATCGATGAGCCTTGTTAATCACTAATAATCTGGATTTAATCCGCAGGACTTTGAGCCAAGTGTGGCCGGCAACGGGCACACCAGCGATAGCAACGCTGACTTCTGGCTTGGCTGCTGGTTTGGCCGCCTTGTTAATCCAATTAGAAGTGTTAGTGGAGATGATGTCTATAGGTAAGACCTCTTTACTATTGCTATTTTGATTCATTTTATCATGCGATGTGTTTTATTCATTGCTTTCCCATTGCGTCGGCAATGCATAAAATTAAGAATTTCTTAAATAATTGCTTTTATCGCATTCGCAGGTACCCTGCTCGCTTACACTCTCGTGTCCACCTGCGTGCTGATCCTACGCTACCAGCCCCATTCTACGAACTTGGTGGAACTGCTGCCGCCAGCTTTGAGAACGCCGTGCAGGACGCCGACCAAGGAGACCCAGAACGGTCAAGTGACTTATGGGAAAGAGTTGAGACCGGATCAGCTGACCACTGCTCTGAATTCGGTCCAGGCAGCGCAGGAGACCGCCGCTACGAACAGCGGTCAGCGTGTTATGGTAATATATATTTTTGATCGATGGTATTGTTTCATTATATTCTTGCATTCTTCAAGTAAAAGTACATCGTTTTTCTGTTTCCTTTCAGGTGAGGCGAGTGAGGAGGTGCAACAGTTCCTCGCCTGACTCGGACGACACGTACGGCGCGGAGGAAGACGAGGTTGGCTTGGGCAAGGACGATCAGTACCTCGTCAGCGATAGGACCGAGAACAAATTCTATGGCAGTGTCCATGCGGCCGCAGCTGCTTCCACCTGCGGTAGTACGCATCAGTATCCGGGCAACACACCGATAATCGGGCCGCCTCTCAATTACCTCCAACGCCGGTTACAGGTAATGTACATTAAATATAAATTTTCATCTAGAATATATTACCATTCTTACAAAGAACTGTAAATTGATTATTTTTTTGTTTATAGGCTGCGCAGTATCTCTGTCCAGCGATCTTCCCTTGGGTGGACAGAGGCCCGGCAACGGAGGCATCCGGACGCTACGTTATGAAACTGGTCGGAATACTCTACTTGCTGATCATCATCTTCGACCTGATCATAGTTTGCGGCATGGGTAAGTTTCCTATCTCGGTTTCATCTAGGCAGCGAATAGATGCATCGTTTGCTTGTTCCAGGGAACATGGGGACGTTCACTACGATCTTGTTGTTCGCCTTTCTGTTCGCCATAATCGGGGTGCTACTTGCCATCAGCAGAAAGCCACAAAACAGGTTTGTACGAAATAAAACGCTTTTGATATTAGTTTTACAAAATAAGTTTATTATGTGTCTACTTATTTTATTATTTTTTTTAAGATCTAATATATTCGGTATTTCTTGTTTTTATAGGAACAGCATGATGTTCATGACTCCGGGACTGCCGTTCGTTCCTGCGATCGCCGTCACCGTGAACATATACCTCATCTTCAAGCTGAGCATCCTGACCCTCGTCAGATTCACCGTCTGGATGGTTCTCGGTAAGTAAAAACATGATCCTTGAAAAATCTATAAAAGTTTTAATCCTAATATACTTCTCTGCCATCGTTGTATCGGTGATACAACAGTTTTTCGATTAATTAAACCCAGTCCTCCCTCTGGTCCTCAGGTTTCATCATGTACTTCTACTACGGCATCAAGCATAGCAGCTTGGAGGAGAGCAACGCGTCGGAGAACCTCGAGGAGAACGTGACCGCCGGGAACATCGAGTTGACCGTCACCGATACGCAGAGGCAACAGCAGCAGTCGTACTCGACGACCGACCGAAGCATCTACGAGGGCCAGCAGCTGGACGCGTTCGGTCAACCGGTGTTCGGCAGCACGAATTTCGGCGGCACGCCCACTCAGAGGCAATCGGTGAGCACGGGACAGCCGGCGCTGTTCGTCGAACAGGATAACTTCCCTACTTGGGACGATTGAGCGGCACGTGCGCAGGTATAAATAATATACATAAATATATATTTGATGATATCAAGATAAATGATTATTGCGAGCCTGACCGGCGTCGAGCACGTTCACCGGCATAAAAAATAATAATAAGGAGATAAACGACCCTCTCGGAGCTCGCGGCGGGCCGCAGGCGCCCTTTTAGTATTCATTTTGTTGATCGATCTGTGGCTTGGCGCAAGAAGCACTGATATTTATCAACCTGAAGATGTCAGATAAATTCTCACTAGAGTTTCAGATGATTGATTGAATCTTTATTTGATTGAACACCAATTTACGCAATTCGGTTTCTAACTAGGACTTGACTAGTTAATCATTTAAGTAGCTTAATTAAAATTGTAATACGACTTTAGCATTTCCTGGATCGAGCCACCGATATGAATCAATTATTATTGGAAATAATTCGATGAATCATCCTTTCGAGAATATTTAATTATTTCTTCCATGAGGCGGGTTTTGTTGAACGAAATTTAGTAGAGATCATTTTTAACGAAACGTCTGACGGTCGAACGGGAGGCGCCGCTTCGAAATTCTGAGCTTCCCTTTATTGATTTCACTTCTTCGCACTGAGAAACGTCAATTTCCGATCTTGTTCGACCTGTTCGTCTATCACGGTTTCAAAGAGAGATCCGCGAGTCTCCGACGGGCGAACTTGTTGACTACTGTTTGGGACGAATGTAGCAAATAATTTTCGCGGCAATATTTATTATCCTAGTTGTATAAAAGCGTGAAAGCGAGAGAAAGAGAGAAAGTGAGTCTGATTGAGCGAGAGAATGAGAGGCAGAGCTGTCAGAGACGGAATCACAAAGATGAGAAAAAAAAAACGTTTCGAAGGGAAACCATCGCCATTCTTAGATAATGAGAAGCTTGTATTTTCCGAAAGAGCATTTTAACTGCTGGGAAAAGGATCGAAGTGTGAGACAGAGAGTGAAAGAAAGAGAAAATTCGTTCCTGAATGGAAGCACGCGAGAAAGAGAGAGAAAGGGAGCCAAAAGGAAGGAGAGAACAAAACTGGATCTTGCCTAAATCTAGTCTTTCCCGATCTTATTAGTGCTTAGAGTTGAAGATTCGATACAAAAAAACGATCTCAAGCTTACCTCGTTTAACTCGAATCTCAACGACGGTTCGGTCGTTTTTCATTAAAAATCGTTTGCCCCCTGGCTTATTTAGATCGCGGAGGGGGAACACGGATCTGCAGGGGGTAATATCGATCGAATTCGGAAATGAATAACACATGCCCGTTGTTTCAATTATTCCGTAAATGTTGTTCAACGACGAACGTCCAGTTTTAATGACAAGTTCCTACAACGATTGTTGACCACGTAATTGTTCTCGTTTCCACGCTATATAATTGATCGCCTCGTTCAAGTGAACAGAAATAAATGAATGAAGGGAATCGATGAAACGGTTTCGGGAAAATTTCGGGAAAATAGGAAACTCGCAGGGGGCAGCCTCGATAAATTTACGTCTCTCGATTTATTATTCTATTCTTGGATCTACGATCAGTGATCTTTTCACATATCAGTCTAGACCTTTCGCGGGGGAAAACGACCAGGAGAGAAATGCAGCGACGATGACTCCGGGGTAGTAGAGAACAAATGACCGAGGTAGAGCGCGCGAGAGCGGGAGAGAATGTTGAGAAACGGGAGAGAATGGGTAAGACCGATCTAAATATTTATCTTTATAAGTATTAACGCGTCTGTTAAAAAATTTTCTAATATATATATATTATATTATAATATATTATATATATATATATATATATATATGTATCATACATTTTTGCACATGGTGTGCCACCCTGTCCGCAATTCTCCCGATCGTTCCCCCTAACGAAACAGATCTGTGTTAGAAAGAAAATACGTCGTTGACTCGACTTCAACTTTCTTCGAATCGTTTTTATCGAGAATTGCGGACGCGGGACGCGTATGTGACGAGATATATATATATACTTTCTATGCGCGACGGCCGATCTCTCGAGCCATCGATCCACGATCGGGGCTGCTGTCTTAGGACCTCTTTAGTTCTATCCCTTTGTAAACGTCGTGGTTCGAGCTGTATGGGAGACGAGGAAGAATGACGAACGAACGTGTAGCTTCGATTATTTCATTTCGGAAGAGAACAGTACCGTTTATAATTGTATCGCGTTTTATTGTCTATCGTTCGCGAGTATCGTTGGAATTAAATCGTCGAGTCTTCCTCGTTTCTCGTGCGCTCCGACGCGAATCGGGCGGTGATCGTTGCTCCGGATATCCGCTTATTTAAACAAGCAAGCTGATCTTTCCCTAAACTGGAACATCACAGTGGCCTTGACGCGATTGTTTTCAAATATCCAACGTGATCGCAAAAAAGAAAAACGACGATTAAGACATATCAAAGTCTCTTAGAGATCACCCGATGCAGAGTTCTATTAGAATTTTGATTTCATACTGTTTAGAACAGTCGAAGAGTCAGTAATAAGAGTTGCTCCTCCTAGAATAAAATACTCGTTTTTAATTATGGTTTTAATAAATCTGTGGCTTTGTAAAATAATGTGCGTTACATCTGTGAGCATCTGTTTCGATTATACCGTAGAATAAGTACTATACACAGGGTCGCTTCTGTCACTGACTCTTCCACGATCTTCTTATTATTATTAAAAAGAAAAAAAAGCGGAATTCCGACGCGGCACTTTGCTCTCTTCGCTTTTTTAGTTAGTCTTTCAAATTTTTAGATAGGAGGAAATGGCCTATTTCGACGCTGGATGAAACCCGTTCTCCTTTTAGTAAACTAAACCGATCCAAAAGCGTGTCCTTATAAAAATAATATTTTTTAATGCGGTACAAAACTGTCGAACTCTCGTCGTCTTGTGCGAGGTGTCGAGTCGAGGCGTTCGACGGATAAGAGACATATCATTTCTTCTGGGCCTTCTTTCATATTAACTCGTAGAAAATTGTTGAAGTCGCGTGGAAGGTTATTCGTATCTTTTCTCTCATCGTAACCAGACCGCGAATTCACACGCTACGTCAAATTCGCATAACCTCAAACAGATTCCAGAGATGTTTGATTAACATTTCGTTTCGAATTTTGGATATATTGTTTATTCTTATTTTTATTCCTCTTTCGAATTGTATTTACGAAATTAAACATTTAGTTTTAAATTTTAATAAATAAAATAAAATTCGAATTGTCAAAGTCACGTGTAACCCGACGGGCATGCGATGGCATGCCCGCAGGACGCTGCCGCGTCTCTCCATTATTATTGCACGTCCTGAGGACGTCGAGGACGGACGGTGATGTAATAATTCGTGGTCTGGTCTGGTGTCGATATTTCTACATATCATTCGCTGTTAGATCGTTTAGAATCATCCAGCGTCAAGTGTAACTCGACTCGCGGTAACTTGCATCTGAACATGGCAAGCATTAAACGTTCCATTACTAAATATTCTTTTACAATAATTAAATGATAATTTATGAATCGTTCGTCGACCGGGTGAGCCGTGACGTGTTCGGACGAGCAATTTACGGCGAGGATTATCTTCCAACGCGTACGACGAGTGAGAGGTACCGTGTGATGCATTTTTTTTTTCTTATTACCTTTACTGTTCAGTTGTACGTTTACTTAAGCAAGGTTTCCTTTGCGATATGGAGGAAGGCGTCGAAGACAGTTGGGAAAGAGAATTGTAACTCCGTGAAATGGTTTCCCCGATTGTTGCAAACTTCGATGAATATTAGACAGTCGTTTCGTTGAGTTTTTACTCATTCTTCGACGTCTTCCTTCGTGGGTTACTTAGTGGAATCGCGAATCAAATAAAGTGTTCCAATGGATAGGAGAGTGAGAGGGCGAGCGTGGAAAATGTAACGGTGCTCCAGTGGGGCAATGAATGACTAATTATTAATTATCGTGTACAATTTTCGTTGTTCTTCTCTCGGGGATTATCGTGGTATCTTGGGAAGATGTATATGCGCACCAGAAGGACAGAATTTTCCATGTAATATACATATACCCTTACTACGTAACTCTACGTTGTTTAATATTGATAAGGATCAAAAATAAAAGTGATTATTCAGAAAGTAATCGACCGGCTTCGGATTCGTTCTCTCGGTCGATACACGAATTCAAGAGGAGTAAGTTCGCTTTTGTTTCGTCCTGCTATCCGTTTCGGGGGTTATAGGCTCTCAAAGTTATGTCACACCGTGCATAGCGTTCGGCACGGTGACCCACTTATGCCAGTCAGCGTCTAGACTTGGTCTAGACGGGTGAGTCGGCCAATGTGCGACAAGGAGAGCAACAGGAGTGCCATAAAACTTGTGGTCCTCTTCTCACTACGATATCTTCGGGACCAGAAGTCGAATCGAGATGAATTAAACGGGACGTCGAAGAGGAGGCTTCACTGTTTCGAAAATTGTAAGTGTAATCTGTTTAGGCTTATTTACTACGAAGTTATAGGCCGGTATTCAGAGTCGTTGCTTATTCTTAAGATCGTCTTAAGAATTTGCTATCCCTGTCTATCCTATATTCCCAGTCCTTGTCTTGTACAGGGAACAGAGACTTAAGCAAATGCTTCAGACGATTTTAAGAATAAGCAACGACTCTGAATACCGGCCATAGACCATACGATTTCTTTGCCTTTTTTAATCCTTCTCCATCGTATTCCTTGCACAGTGTATTAATATCTTGATATTTTATTTCTTTATATGTACTCACCTCTACAATTAGCACGACTCGACGGAATCTCAGTCGTCGTACACATATCACTGCAACACTACCCTTACCTTCGCTGCATGCTTTATCTTCTCCATGCAAGTATTATTTATATAAAAAATACTTGTTAATCTTGTATCCCTTGTCTTTTTTTCGTGAATAAAGAGTTCAGAATAAAAAGATAGTTTTAATTAAGTCTTATTTAATTACCTGTCCACGAATCATAGAATTACCTAATCCCAATCCTTAACGAGAGAAACTCGAAATAATAGCCCTGGTCATTATTAAATTAGTTGTATAAATAATTAAATTCATCGATGCAAAATTCTTGGAATTGTGACGTCACACGATGAGTTAGTGCTACCTCCTATTACATTATATTCTCCTAATACAAAGTCCAATTTCGGGCAAAAATTTTTCATTTCAAGAATTCTTGGAAATGACGTCATCACCAGGAGTTAGTGCTACCTCCTATCACATTATATTCTCCTAATACAAAGTCCGATTTTAGACAAAAATTTGCCATTTTGAGAATTCTTGGAAATGACGTCATCACCAGGAGTTAGTGCTACCTCCTATCACATTATATTCTCCTAATACAAAGTCCAATTTCGGGCAAAAATTTTTCATTTCAAGAATTCTTGGAAATGACGTCATCAATAGGAGTTAGTGCTACCTCCTATCATATCATATTCTCCTAATACAAAGTCCAAAATCGGGCTAAAATTTTGTCGAAAATTTTACTTTGTATTAGGAGAACATAAGATGATAGGAGGTACCACTAACTAATTTAGTGCTACCTCCTATCACTTTATATTCTCCTAATACAAAGTGAAATTCTGGAGAAAAATTTTGCCCGAATTTGAACTCTGTATCAGGAGAATATAATGTGATAGGAGGTAGCACTAACTCCTGGTGATGACGTCATTTCCAAGAATTCTCGAAATGACAAATTTTTGTCTAAAATTGAACTTTGTATTAGGAGAATATAATGTGATAGGAGGTAGCACTAACTCCTGCTG